GTTGAGGTAGTATAGAGCTAGAACTATATATATTGCTTGTACGCATCATTCTGAGAACCTCTAACTTAGAGGTTTTGAATAGTAAATGGTTAGGGAGTTAAATACTAGACTATATGATGTATTACCCGTATATCCAAGAGAAGGTAAACCGAGAAACAGCACGAGAATTAAATTCTATGCAATATCATCTCGATATCCTATGTCTTGGCATGGCTATACCTGAGGGGCCAATCACAAGCCGGAGACATTTTTTCTCGACATCATCTCCACGACTTGACCAGCAGCAACATTTTCAAACAAAGACTGAATAATTGGAGAGCAAAGATTGGAATTTAGCCCGGTACACCTTCAACTCGCTAGGAACAAAGGATAGCATCGATATCCGGATCGAGGCGCAACCATGCCCTCTCAACCCCCACTACCGCCCCTCCTCGCCTCATATGTATCAAATTTGCCTGATTCATCTCTGACGCTGGTCTCTTCTATCCTTGGTGCGACTTCGAACTGGCTGGTTCTGAGATTCCTTCATGCTGCGCTGAGCGCACCAAATCCCAATGTGGCATTTGGCTCAGACGAGCCGCAAAATGGTATCAAGAAGAAAGTGGTGCTGGTGAGCTTCATGCGGAGCTATGAATTCTGGAGGACCGAAGCAAAGCGATTGGTAAGTTCAGACAACAGGTTTACTGATAGTTGAATTGGAACATGTATTTGTGTTCTACTTCTTATATTATGTGTTGATATATACTTTGTTCGACATCACTAACCAAGGTTATAGGGCCTCGACCTTGCGCGTCTGGCAGATAAGCAACAGTTTGCATTCATAGATGGCTTGTCTGAGCTGTTTTACGCACCGCAAGCTACATCCACTCCTCCCAGTATCTCACCGGCTGGTCTGGGAAGTCCACGCACAACGCTCCCAATGCGGTCTCCGCCTGGTGCTGTACCTGGAAGGTCACCACAGCCGGTGCCAACAGCTAGAGGAGTGAGAGGAAATGTGACGACGAAGGCTGAACCTGGGATTGCAAAGAAGCTCCAATTCTCTGGCCGTGGTCTCGCCTCCCTGGACGCACTAGAGAAAGATATCTCATCAGTGATTGAACAGCAAAAAAGTTCAATGGAAGATGGTGATGAGCTTCTCCTCATTATAGACCAGCCTGACCTGCTCCTTGCTGCGACAGGTCCGAGTATGGGGATTGGAGCAACAGAGATATCGGAGTGGATCACAGCGCTACAACAGGTAAGGCTTGTCACTTGATAGGCAAAGTTTACGGCAGGCTGACTATGTTCGACAGAGTGCACATGCTACGGTTTTAACGTTAGCTACAGATGCCCCATTAATACAAAATGCATCCACATCGGATGTGAAGATGGCTACACCATTGGAGACGGAACATGCGGCACTTGTTATTGGGCTGGCGCATCGGGCTCAGTCGGTCATGCAGCTGCGCACTTTGGATACTGGAGCCGCAAAAGATGTGAGCGGCGTACTGAGAATCAGCCGAGGTGGTGGGCTGAACACGAGTGAAAAAGAGAACCTCGAGGAGAGAGAGGCGTTGTACTTCATTCAACGGGATGGCGGTGTCCGGGTGTTTGGTCGTGGAGAATCATGAGCCGAGGCTGTATACTATGGGTTAGATGTTCACGAGAATCATGAGCTTATCAGAAACAGCCATTGAATCATGTCCAATTCAAGTCTCTGCGTCTGGTCCTCAAAGAGGCTCGTACTGAGTAGAACAGACCATGAAATGGTAGGAAGAGTGTTCACATTGTATCTGTCATGACATGGGATATTCGCCAGCCATAAACGAAGAAAAAGGAAATTCATTCACGCTTTCCCGGGGTTTTTTTAATCCAGCTCTTTTCCGTAGGAAAGAGCCCCTCAACGAAACTTTTCCCATCGTCTGCAAGTCCTACTTTGTCATCCTTGACGTGGCAAAGAGAACCAACGTGATCGACAGTTGCACACACCACCAACTCCACGGGAAAGCGATAAGAGTCCGGAACTGCCATTGCATTTCGAGTAATGCTATCCCGTAATGCTAATTCATGTCATGCCAGGATCCCTCCCCTCATTCCTATTCCAGCCTCTCCGATAACGAAAACGCGACGCCGAGCGGACGAAAAAGGGAATCTAGTTGGTGACGGGGCCACGGGCACCCTTGGGGGTACCGGTCTGGAAGCCGTTCAAGAAGCGGCGGTGGACATCGCGGAGGGAGCGCAGGCGGCCGGAGCCGGTGGTCTTGCGGCGCTTAGCCTTCTCACCCCAGTTGACTGTTCGTAGAAAATGTATGTAAGCCAGAGTTTTCGACTTGGTGCCCAAATTCCAAATAATGGCCACCATTCATATCATCAACGTTCTCGGGAGGGGTATTTGCGTACACTTGCGGGTCTTGGCAGCAGGGTAGCCGCAGTTGGCACAAGTCGACTTCTGGATGTGGAAAGACCGCTTGCCTGTAGTCGTAAATATCACAGGTTAGCGCTTGTCCTTGCTAGATTGTGTGTTGTTCGGCGTAATCGCTAATTCCGTCTTTCGATGTAGAAATTTTGCGACTGCGGGTCGGATGGGTGAAATCGCGAAAAATAGGTGTAATACGTACCACAACGACGGCACAGAGTGTGCGTCTTGTTGTGACGCTTTCCGAAGCTTGAGGTACCCTTAGCTATGGCGGTTGTTAGTTTGGAGTTATTCGACGCTGCGGAGGATCGCGGTGCGATGAGTCGGCATCGGACGTACTCATCTTGAATTATGGAACTGTGGATGAGGATATGTGTTAGTAAGTTGACGCGGTTGAAGTGAACACTAGTCAAGGGACCAGTATGCGGACGTACCTGGCAATTCCGTTGAAGGGGCTGGTTGTCGGGTCGTCGTCGCTAAGCGTCTCGAAACTTGCCCAAGATCTGGCGATTGTGCACTAAGCGAGTGCGTTAGTCAATCACGTGAACCTATCAGGGCTTAACCGGATCCCGTGACCGACCAACCCTCATTGGAATTAGACGGTCCGTGCATTACAAATCACGTGATAACCATCATATCGAAAGTCAACAAATTACAGAGTGGTAGATAGGATATCCTATTGATTCATGTTCATTCTAGATATCTCATTGAGGCATGTTATTTTGAGGTTGTTTTAGAACTATATACGAAAAAAAATTTAAAACACAAATTATTGCGTTGTGCATTTGTTCACTGTTTCAACAGCATATCAAGGGTATTTTAGTACATCCGAACGCCCATGCAAGTAGTATATGGAGAACATCATCAGAATCAATCTTTCCCTATGAAGTTCGCCATAGGGTCCTCGGCAGCCAACCGACTCCGCTTGTATGAGTCAAATTCCTCCTCTGTGATACCTGACTTCAATTCTTCCAGGGTCCGCTTTTTACCATTGGGATTTGAAAGCTGCTCTTCATCCCTGCCATCGGCCTGCTCAGACTCGTGAGAGAGATCCGCATTTCCAGTGTCTTCGGAAACCTCTTCATTATCATCGACTGCTCCAGCCATCATTAACATGTTGCCTTCTTCCTCGAAAGCCTTCTTTCCATCTTCCCCTGTACAGTAGCTGTTCTTCACCGTGGAATAACAGCATGCATACCCCCATTTGAATTGGTACCACCAGCTGCCGAAGACGGAGGCATGATTGTTGACCATCACGTCTTCGGGGTACTTAGATTTAGTTGCGTTCTTGGGCGCACCCTTGATGGCACCACTCTCGTCATATTCAATGAACCGCTCGTTTTCAACCACCATCGTCTCTCGCAGCGCACTTGGTTTTGAGTGCTCTGCACCACCGTATTTATCCAGGAGAGCTTTGCGATGCGCCTCGCGCTTAGTCTCACTATCAGCCATCTCCTTCTTACGAAGAACTTCACCAGATGTCGGATTGGCTTGGATATGTAGTTGAGGCAGACCCTTCTCTTGTGACTCCCACGCATATTGCTGGGCTTTCTCGAATTCCGCAGCATCGCCCGAAGCACGGACGAAATTCTCTTCTGCGACAAGTGCAGCGGCCTGGTCATCCTGCGCGCCCATATCCACCATTCGGCGTGTCTTCGGGTCGTATTTGGCGGAATCAAGGTCGAGGTTGAGCAGGTATTTGGCGGTGTCTTCTCGAATACGTAGGTTTCGGGTTGCGGTACTCTGTTGTCGTCCCATGTCGGATTCTTCGGCGTACCGGATATCTGAATCGGGGGCCTCATCGCCATCTTCATCGGCTTGAAGTTTCTTGAGCTTTGAATCATCCTTCGCCATTCGCTTGATGGCCTCCATCTCTTCATATTCCTCGACCACCTGGCGATATTCGGTGGCATCGTAGCCATTCCACCGATCTCTTTTCGCGTCCCACCCCATGTCGACCTTCTGGAGAAGTTCATCTGCCTGAATATCCTTTCCTGTCCATCTGGCGCCTTGCTTGCGGGGTCGACTCAAACACTCTTTGGTTTTGTGTGTCATCGCGCCACAGTTTTCACATGCGCCTTTGCGGTATTTGGTGGCTGCTGGACCCGCACGCTTTCCTCGATCATACCATTTTGATTGATCGGGAATGGCTTTCTGAAGACGTTGATGTTCGAGGTAATCGTTGTTTGTCTCATCGTCAACGTAGAATGGCTTTTTCGAGATGAAGGACGGAATGTACTCGTTAGGCGTTTTTGACGCCACATCTGCGGGTTTTCGTGACATGACTGGTATGTTCAACGAGGAGGGGTAAAATTGGACCTGGGAAGAAAGGAAAGCAAGTGAGGAAGTAGATTAAGCCACCTGTAGCTCTCTCTGTTGTGAGATGAGATGAGTGAAGTTGCGACAGGCCCGAGCTTGGCGGGTGGATTTGATATGAAACACGTGACTAGGCGTTATCGCGCGTTGTCAAGGACGTATCTATGTCGCGTTTTCTCAACCACATATTCCTACAGATGCCAAAGAGGACACACATGCGATAATCGGTGCGTGATTTATTTATCCTTCGCAATGTTGCTGTGGCTTCTGGTCGCCACACACCAGAGCGATGGAGCCATTCCGTGTGCGTCTCAACTGTATCGATCATTACCAGGCGACCGCGTCGGAGTTGGATCCTCCACTACCTTTTCGTGATGAAGCCTCGGAGACAGATTTTCAGCCCAAGGTGCCTGTGATTCGAATATTTGGAGCCACCGAGACAGGCCAGAGAGTTTGCGTACATGTCCATGGCGCATTTCCATACCTTTACATCGAATACACCGGGTCTTTGGCGCCAGAAGATGGTGAGTAATAGTCATTGGTGATTTGAGGGTTAACTTACCAAAACTGTAGTAAACTCCGCAATCCGATCTATCCATCTTTCAATCGATCATGCTCTGGCGGTCAGCTTTCGCCGAAATGCATATGACCGGAGGACAGCGTTTGTGGCGCACATCACCTTGGTGAAAGGAGTCCCGTTCTACGGATACCATGTGGGATGGCGGTTTTTCTTCAAAATTTATCTCTTAAACCCCTTCCATACAAATCGCCTGGTCGATCTTCTGCACCAGGGAGCTGTTATGAAACGTTCACTTCAGCCCTACGAGGCACATATGCAATACATCCCGCAATGGATGTGCGACTACAACTTGTACGGATGTGCAACCATGAACTGTAGCCAAGTCAAGTTCCGAGCTCCAGTACCCGAGTATCTCGAGCTCAGCAATCTAGCCCATCGCTGGCACGATCGTTCAGTTCCACCCGAGAGCATACTCGATCACCCTGCATTACAGAAACAAAGCAATTGCGCGCTGGAGGTTGATATTTGTGTTCAAGATATCCTGAACCGTCTTGATGTAAAGGAACGGCCTTTGCACCATGATTTCACCGAGCTGTTGAAACCTGTCGCGGTTAGCGAGCGGCTCGTCCCTAGCATGGCTGGACTATGGCAGGACGAAACTCGCAGACGCAAGAAGAGAATGGGTATCACTGACCCCGGAAGCACTCCGTTTGGACCCGAGGAATTGGTTTCAATGTCTGCAGATCCACGAAATCAGTCGAGAGCTGGCTGGATACACGAGGAAGAATTCCGTGAGATGGCGTCTGAGCTTGAGGCTAACGAGAAACGCGATGATGACAACAAAGACACGACATTCGGGACATTCTTGAATATCGACGCCCAAGCCAAAAATGTGAAGACTGCGTTGGATAGTGTTGAGGACTTCTTTCCTGATAAAATCAGTACTTTGACCTTTGATACCAGCCGTTCTCAGGACCCAGCCGAGCAAAAGGTGCCGGAAATTTCGGTTGATGAGAGTCTAGCTCTATCATCTCAACCTGACGGACGGTATTACTCGGATTCTGATCAAGAAGGGTCCTCATTGGAAGGGAGAACGAAACAGGAGACTGAAATGAAAGAAGACACGCTGAAGGAGAGCTTTTACGATGAGGTCTTTGACGAAATACGCTTCTCAGATTTGGTTGCACCCGAAGAGCCTGCTGAGACTGACAACACAGAAACAACTATGGATGGTGTCTACAAGGAAGGAGATTGTGTAGCCCAAGAAAGACGGCCCAGGAATCAGAGTCAAAGCAGCAGTGTAACACCCAAAAGACAACACTTTGAAACCCTCGATTGCCATTATTCGTCTACCAAAAGAGCTAGACACATGACCAAACACGGCTTGCCTGGCGGGCCATTGGAATCACCCAGTACGCGGAAGCACCAGCAAGACGACAAACACAAAAGTGTCTCCTTTGATAGCAATTTGGATTCTTACGCGGAAACGCCGTCATCGGAACCAAAATCATCTTCCTCGCAGAGAACACCCCGTCCAAAGGCGCATAGTTATACTAGCGGCCTGAAATTCCCGGTGGTCAAGGATCCCAATGATCCTTCGACCATTTTGCGGTACAGCCAAGATGAGCCAAATTCTGCAAGAAAGGATCCGGAGTCATTCCAGCCTCGCTTAAGTTCTCTCCCTTCTAGATATGGCACGGAATTGTCGGGCGGAATAAGTGAAATTCAGAGTTCTTCGGAGCTACATTCGTCTGCAACAGTGATGGGTCCAGTCTCTTTAGATCCACATCTCGCTAAGAACATGAAAAACATTCAGCAGTCATTCAATTTTACACCAAACACCTCATTACGTTTCTTCAAATTTGCGAGCCCAACTTCTAGCGAAGTCAGTTCAACACTAAATGAATATGGGCGTCCTTCAGTTGTATACCAGAAAGCATTTTACAGGAACGAAAGGGATGTGCCTGAACGGCCCAGAGACTATGGCGGCAGAGAATTTCGGCTAGGGAGCAACACAATTCACTATCTACCAAATTTCGACCCAACGGCAGAGGCACCTGCAATGTTTGGTGAGCAAATACCAACAGCACACGACCGAGATCAGCAAGAAAAGGTTGATCGGCAACTCCGAGAAAAGTGTACCGCCAGGGTCTGGGAGTTTGCTCCTGTCCCGCCAAGCAGGTCGGAAGTCATACAGTGGTTTGAAGAGTTAGAAGCCTCTAAAGACTTCAAACTAAGCGCAGCCCAAGCCACACCTACTAAGATGAAATCCGTCTTTCTCTCGCAGATTGAGGGCCCAACACAGAAGAACACACATGGCTTCAAATACTCACAGCATGCAGTGTCCACTAGCGTGGAACACCAAGCTCAGCACATGAGCACAATGAGCTTAGAAGTGCATGTAAACACGCGCGGAACACTCATGGCCAACCCCGAGGAGGACGAAATCACTTGCATGTTCTGGTGTATCCAATCCGAAGACGAGGATTTTGAGGTCAATAGTCATCTCCCGGGAGTCCATGTTGGGATGGTTTACCATGGCGAAGGCGAGAGGCCGGAAGCCAAAATATCAAAGGCATTAACAATTGACGTCGAGTGTGAGCCCACGGAACTGGACCTGATAACCCGACTCATAGATATTGTCCGTTACTACGATCCGGACATAATCGCCGGCTACGAGGTCCACAACGCTTCATGGGGATATGTGATTGAGCGAGCGCGCAAGAAGTATGACTTTGACATATGTGAGGAGCTCTCGAGGACAAAATCGCAGTCCAATGGACGATTTGGGAAAGAGGCAGATCAGTGGGGTTTCAACCACTCCTCGTCCATTCGTATCACTGGGCGACACATATTTAACATCTGGCGCGCCATGAAAAGCGAGCTCAACCTGCTACAGTACACGATGGAGAACGTTGTCTTTCATGTCTTGCATCGCCGAATCCCTCACTATTCCCCCAAAGACTTGACGCGATGGCACCAAAGTGGCAAGCCTCGCAATCTCTTCAAAGTAGTGGAATATTTCACCTCTCGTGTGCAAATGAATTTGGAAATTATCGAGGCAAATGAATTGACAACAAGGATAAGCGAGCAAGCGAGATTGCTGGGAATTGATTTCGCCTCTGTGATTTCCCGGGGATCCCAGTTCAAAGTCGAGTCTCTGATGTTCCGAATAGCGAAGCCAGAGAACTTCCTCCTCGTCTCACCAAGCAAAAAGCAGGTCGGACAACAGAACGCATTAGAATGCTTGCCCCTGGTCATGGAACCACAAAGTGACTTCTACACTAGCCCACTTCTGGTACTTGATTTCCAGTCACTGTACCCGAGTGTCATGATCGCGTACAACTACTGCTACTCAACCTTCCTTGGCAGAGCAATGCACTGGCGTGGGCGAGATAAGATGGGGTTCCTAGATTACAAGCGACAGCCCAGGCTGCTCGAGTTACTGAAGAACAATATCAACATCGCACCAAATGGTATGATGTATGCGAATCAAGAAGCGCGTCAGTCGCTGCTGGCCAAGATGCTTTCTGAGATTCTTGAAACCCGCGTGATGGTCAAAAACGGCATGAAGGCAGACAAAGACGACAAGGTCTTGCAGCGGCTTCTGAACAACAGACAGCTGGCGCTTAAGCTGATTGCAAACGTCACATACGGCTACACATCTGCCTCATTCTCCGGACGAATGCCCTGTTCCGAGATCGCCGATAGCATCGTACAGACCGGACGAGAAACCCTCGAAAAAGCCATCGCCTTCATCCACTCAATCGAACGCTGGGGCGCGGAAGTCGTCTACGGCGACACCGATAGTCTATTCATCTACCTCAAAGGCCGCACACGCGACCAAGCCTTCGACATCGGCGAAGAAATCGCTGAAGCAGTAACAGACCTGAACCCACGCCCGATCAAACTAAAATTCGAAAAAGTCTATCACCCGTGCATCCTGCTCGCGAAGAAACGCTACGTAGGCTTCAAATACGAGCACCGGGCGCAAAAAGAGCCCGAATTCGACGCAAAGGGCATCGAAACCGTCCGACGCGACGGCACACCTGCCGAACAAAAAATCGAAGAAAAAGCCCTAAAAATGCTCTTCCGCACCGCAGACCTCTCCCAGGTAAAATCCTACTTTCAGCGCCAATGCACAAAGATCATGCAAGGCCGCGTCTCCATCCAAGACTTCTGCTTCGCCCGCGAAGTCCGACTGGGGACGTACTCCGAGCGCAGCCTGCCTGCCGGCGCGATGATCAGCACAAAGCGCATGATGGAGGATCCGCGTTCCGAGCCGCAGACCGGCGAGCGCGTCCCGTACGTGGTTGTCACCGGTGCGCCTGGCGCGAGACTTATTGACCGCTGTGTTGCGCCGCAGAAGCTTCTGCATGACGCGCATCTCGAGATCGATGCGGAGTACTATATCACGAAGAACATTATTCCGCCGCTGGAGAGGATTTTCAATCTTGTGGGTGCAAATGTTCGGCAGTGGTATGATGAGATGCCGAAGGTGCAGCGTATTCGGCGCATTGAAGGATCGACGCTCTCGAATTCTGCTGGGGTTAACATGAAGACTCTTGAGTCTTATATGCGCTCGTCTTCGTGTGTTATTTGTCGGTCGAGATTGTCTAATGCTACTATTCCGGTGTGTGAGAACTGTCTGCAGAAGCCGCATCTTACAATGCTTAATGTTGTTTCGCGGCTGCGAAAGGCGGAAAAGAGAGTCGTTGGTCTGGAAGCTATTTGTCGCTCTTGTATGGGCGTTTCTCCTGGTGATGAGGTTAGTTGTGATAGCTTGGATTGCCCTGTCTTCTACTCGAGGACCAGAGATGCTGCTAATTGGAGACACACCAAGGCTGTGTTGGAGCCTGTCGTTGAATTGTTGGAACAGAAGGCGGATGAGGGATTGGATTGGTAGTGCTTTGAAGCAATTGGAGTTTTGACCTGGATATACCCTACAGGCTATTGTTATTTTGCTGCTTAGTTCTAAAAATTGGAGGAAATTCGAGCGTCCGGTTTCATTCGCACCGCAGACTCGCAGCTCATCACCTAACTAAGTTACAACGCTGGTCTGCAATTCCACGCCTGCGTCCCATTTTTTGTGTAAGTTTTTTTCGATTTTCTCCGTCTTTTTTTTTTTTTTTTTTTTGTCAAATAGACCGAATCGCCACACACAAGTTGGTAAAAATTTATTAGAAAATTCAATGTTGTGAAGGCTGCA